AGCCGCGGTGTCGGGACGCGGGGCCCCCTCCTGCCCCGGGTGCGGCCCCGCTGCCCGGCACCGCAGCCCCGGTGCTCCCAGCGCCGCAGCCCGCGTGCGGTCCCGGCGCCTCCAGGGCTCGCGGCCGTCAGCCCCGCGCGCCCCGGCCCTGGCTCACCGGGGCTACCGCCTGCTCTGCCCGCGCTGCACCCTCCTGCTGCCCCCGCTCGCTCTGCGTCGCCGCGGGCGTTTCGGGGCGCTGCTCAGAGCTCCCCGGGCAGCCTAGGGCGGCAGCCGCGCTGCGCTGCGCGGGGTCCCCGCTGCYGTCCCCCTGCGCAGTGTGTGCTGCGCTCCGGCGCCCTGCGCCACGGCAGCCGCGTGTCCCTACCCCGCTCCTCATGCTTGTCCCTGTTTTGGGATGAGTCACACTGTGTCACCATGTTGTGCTCCTGAGCAAGGGCAGAGCGGAGCTGCTGCGGGTGACAGCGACCGCGGCGCTGCCGGGCCCGGAGCAGGCGGCAGAGGCGCCCGGATCCACTGGGAGCCCGTCGGCTGCGCGGGGCCCATCCCACGCCGGCTCTGACCTCTCTCCTCTCTCTCCGCAGATCCTGGTGCCGTGCCGGCCGCTGTCCTGCTGTGGGCCTGGCCGTCGGGGCTGCGTCCCCATGGTCGCTGGGGCAGCACAGGGGCCATCGGGGCAGCGCGGGGGCCGGAGCGGCACGCGGCGCTGACGCCGAGGAGCCCACCGGGCCCAGCGCGGTGCTGCGCGGCTGCAGCCGCGCCGATGGAGCTGCGGCCCCGCTCGCTGCTCCTGCTGTGGACGCTGGTGGCTGCCCTGGCTCTGCTGGCCCCGCAGGCGCTGGCCCGGCGCGTCTACACCAACACCTGGGCCGTGCTGGTGCCCGCGGGGCCCCTCGAGGCTGACCGGCTTGCCAGGAAACATGGATTCCTCAACCTGGGCCCGGTGAGTGCTCCCGCCTGCCTGGCCTCCCTGCGGCGCGTGGCCGTGTCTGGCTTAGCGCAGCCGGGTCGGGGGTGGCTTCTCCCGCCGGCCGCGCCATGCCAGCTTGGGGGCTCGCTGTGCCGCGGTGGCCGCGCGCTGGCACTGCGCCCGCTCCRCAGGAAGGAAGCGCGGGGCGAATCCCAGAGGAAGTTGCACAACTCGCGGCTGCCGTGTCAGGACCTYGCTGAGCGGCGGCTGCTGCACGGGCCCGTGCCGAGCAGCCCGGTGCCCCGTCCTGCTGCGCGTGGGCTGCCCGCAGGAGCCCCCGGCGCCTCAAGCTCTGGGCTGTGCCGGGGAGGGAGGCAGCGGGGAGCAGGATGAGCCGGGTCCACAGAGCTGCTGCCGCTCGCGAGCCGTCTTGGYGCATTCCCCGCTTTCCTCGAGAGGCTGCACCGCGGCCGGCCCCTTCCTGGCCCGCCGTGCGCCCGGCGGCATCACCGGCTGCCCCGGAGGTGCCGGTCCAGGCGGGTGGACRGAGGCTGTGCTTTGCCCCGCTGCTGCCTCCGCAGCCGCGGTGTTTGCTTGGCTGGGACAGGATGTGGTGGCCGCGGCGGGGAGTTGGGGGCCCTGGGCGCTGCCCTGCTGGGCTGGGACCTGTGGGGCAGTGTCCTGCGCAGACGAGTGTGCGGCCACCCCTGCCCGTGAGACTGGGCACGCGGGTAGGGGTCGAGTAGGACAGTCCCTGCTCCCCGTGGTTCCCAATTGCCCTGGGCAGCTGGTTACACTGGAGGAGCAGGGGGAGGCAGAGCCATAGGGAATGGGTTGGGTCTGTCCCCCTTCCCCTGCGGCTCCTGCGCCMCAGCAGGGCAGCGCTGCCTGCAAGGCCAGGCTGGGCGCTGCAGCGGCGATGYGGGGCCGTGCGCCTGCAACCTGCCGGCCACGTGGGACATGGGACGTGTGCCTCGCTCTGCCAGCACTGCTGTGCGCCAGCATCCTGTGGGCCGTGTGGGACATGGGACATGCGCTGCGCTCAGTGCCGCCCAGCCTCGAGGGGCTGTGGAGGAGCTGCCTCCCATCTGCCCTGGCTGCCAGCGGGATGGGGCTGTGGGGCAGCCCCCGGCGCGGGGCGGCAGGAGGGACGCCGGGGTCCCGGAGTCTCCAATCCTGCCTCTTGTGCAGATCTTCGGTGACTACTACCACTTCCGACACCACGGCGTGGTGAAGCGCTCGCTCTCGCCCCACCAGCCCTGGCACCRCCGCCTGGCCCGGGAGCCGCAGGTAGGTGCCCCGCGCCACCCGGCCCTGTCCCCGGGTCCTGGTGATGGGAGCAGCCGCCTCCACCGGCCCCGGCCCTGTCAGGACGAGCTAGGGCAGCCCGGCCGCCGGCCTCCCGCGCCACAGGGATGCGGGGCTGCCTCGGTGACCCAGGGCTCTCCGGCCGGCGCCTGCGGTGCCGCGCGCCTGCCCCAGCACCGCAGGTCGCCGCGCTCCCCGGCTCCGGGCCGTGTGCCAGCCGTGCGGCAGCRCCGTGCGCAGCGGGTGTGCGGCGTGGGGCAGCGCCGGCCGCCTCTGCAGCTCAGCGGAGCTCGGCGCCCCGGYGCCACGTGGCGCCCGCACCGCCCACCTGCCCATCCCGTCGCGTCCCGCGGTCCCGCGTGGCCGCTGCGGGCGGCAGGGCTGCAGCAGCTGCCCGGTCTCTGCTCCAGGTGCATTGGCTGGAGCAGCAGGTGGCCAAGCGCAGGAGCAAGCGGGACATCTTCATGGAGCCCACGGACCCCAAGTTCCCGCAGCAGTGGTACCTGGTGAGCTGGCGGGGCCKGGCTGTGCGGTGCCGGTTCCGCCTGGCCTGGAGGCAGCACCGAGGCCGGGGCTGYGCCTGTCCCGGGGGGCTTCCTCGCCCCGGGCCAGCCTTGCACACCCGGCCTTCCTTTGGCAGTACAACACAAACCAGCGGGACCTGAACGTGCGGCAGGCCTGGGAGCAGGGCTATACCGGCAAGGGCATCGTCGTCTCCATCCTGGATGATGGCATCGAGAAGAACCACCCCGACCTGGAGGGCAATTATGTAAGTGTTGGATGATCCCCAGGCAAATGGCTCTGGAGCCTGCAGGTGTGGGAGCCCACAGGGCCGGGGCACCAGCCTGGATTGGCGCTGTGGCCAGGTGGGCCCACCAGCACGGTGGGACGTGGAGCAGAGCCGTGGTGGGGAGCGAGCCCGCGCCATGCATCGCTCAGCCCAGCAGCACCGCCCCAGTGCAGGCACGGCCCAGGGCGCTGGTCTCACCGGCTGGTTCTGCAGCTCTGATGGCCAGGTCTGATRTCCTCTAGGATCCAGGGGCCAGCTTTGATGTCAACGACCAGGACCCCGACCCGCAGCCCCGCTACACRCAGATGAACGACAACCGGTGAGAAGGGAGGCGGTGGGCGGCTGCCAGGCCGGCTGCAGCGGGGTCCCCCCGCGGGCCGTGGGGTAACAGAGGGGCTGCCTCCTCGCTCCCGACACACGGCCCTGCTCTGAGCTCACCGCCTTGCAGGCAYGGCACGCGCTGCGCCGGGGAGGTGGCCGCCGTGGCCAACAACGGCATCTGCGGCGTCGGCGTGGCCTACAACGCGCGCATCGGAGGTGGGTGTCGCGGCCCTGCGGGAGCGCAGAGCGGCGCTCGCCTCGGCCGCCGCACCGATCCCGCGGCTCTCGGCTCTGTCGCGGCGTGGGCGCCGTGCGCGGCAGGGCTGCGGGGCCCAGCCCGACCCGACCYGGCGCCGCGCCGCGCCGTGACTTCTGCTCTCTGGCCCTAGGCGTGCGCATGCTGGATGGGGAGGTGACTGATGCTGTGGAGGCCCATTCGCTCGGCCTCAATCCCAACCACATCCACATCTACAGTGCCAGCTGGGGCCCCGAGGATGACGGGAAGACAGTGGACGGCCCGGCCCGGCTGGCGGAGGAGGCGTTCTTCCGAGGGGTGAGCCAGGTGAGCCCGGGAGTGTGCCGGGCGCCTGCCGGCCCTTCCCACACTTCCCAACTGCTCCAGGCAGCCGGGTTGTCCCCGCTCTCCCGGTGAGGCGCCGTGGCCCCATCTCTTCAATCTGGCGCTGTTGGTTTTTCCGGTTCTTCCTGTGTGATGGATCTGAGTCACGGCTCCTCCGGCGCTTATCTCTGCTTCCGAGCAGCCTGCACTCCCACTGCTCAGCAAGCTCCCCCCGAGCCCGCGCTGTGGATCCCTGTGCTGGTTCCCATCTCCACAGCTCCCTGCTCCCGCTGCCCATCGTCCCTGCCCAGTGCCCACCGGAGCTGCGGTGCAGCCTGTGCGCTTCACCTGCACAGCTGGTTTCTGCCCGGGATTCCGTGCCCAGAGAGCCGGGTGCTGCACGAGACGAGGCTGCCACACGGCTGTGGGGCTGGCAGCGCTCACCAGCCCCCGCTGCCGGCGCTGATCCGTGTTCTGCCTCCGTCCGCAGGGCCGAGGGGGCCTGGGCTCCATCTTCGTCTGGGCGTCGGGGAACGGGGGCCGCGAGCACGACAGCTGCAACTGCGACGGCTACACCAACAGCATCTACACGCTGTCCATCAGCAGCACCACGCAGTACGGCAATGTGCCCTGGTACAGCGAGGCCTGCTCCTCCACCCTCGCCACCACCTACAGCAGCGGCAACCAGAACGAGAAGCAGATCGTGAGTCTGGGCCCCGCGAGTCGCCCRCTCTGCCCCGCGGCTCCGGCCACRTCCCGTCCCGCCCGCTGCTGCCCCYCTCACCCGTGGGCTCCTCCTTGCAGGTGACGACCGACCTGAGACAGAAGTGCACCGAGTCGCACACGGGGACGTCGGCCTCGGCCCCGCTGGCTGCTGGCATCATCGCTCTCGCCCTGGAGGCCAAGTAAGGCTGGGCCCCGAGGAGGGCATTGAATCCCCGCGGGAGCCAGCGGCCCCTCCTGGGGACTCACGTGCGGCCGGGCATCTCCCCGCAGCAAGAACCTCACGTGGCGGGACATGCAGCACCTGGTGGTGCAGACCTCCAAGCCAGCGCACCTCAACGCCAACGACTGGGTCACCAACGGTGTTGGACGCAAAGGTGCTGGGGTTCTTGGGTCTCGTGTCCTCCAACCCGGGGAGTGTGGGGGGACGACATTGCCAGCATGGGGCTCCCCGGGGTGTCCCCCCACCCTGACYGCCCCTCTCTCCGCAGTCAGCCACTCGTATGGCTACGGGCTGCTGGACGCCGGGGCCATGGTGACCCTGGCCAAGAACTGGACCTCAGTGGGGCCTCAGAGGAAATGTGTCATCGACATCCTCACGGAGCCCAAGTAAGGGCTGGGCGCTGCACGGGCAGCAGGGACCCAGGGCTGAGCTGCAGCCTYAGCTCTGCAGCCCCAGCGCCGTCTTGCAGAGCTGGGGAAGGGCTGGAAAAGCTGTGATCACAATCCCTTGACTGCTCCGGTCGGGCAGGGTGTAGCAGGACACGTCCAGGCTGGGATGCTGCGGTTTTGGGAACAGCACGCAGGAGCCCTCGGACAGAGGGGCTTTTCAGGACTTAGACAGAGGCTCCTTTTACTCTCACTTGGCCGTGGTGCAGCATGTGGCCGCGCACCGGGCGCTCCCTGGAGCTCCCATCCCTGCCGTGTCTCATCCCTGGGCACRGCGGGTGCCAGCTCTGCTCGGTGCCCTGCCCGCTCCCCCGGGCCATGGCGGGCGCACGGGACAGGCGCTCCTCGTGCTCGGCATCGCGGCGCCCGGCAAAGAAAGGGCCTGTTGATGGCCAGCACAGAGCGGGGATTGAGCAGTGGCCACCAGGCTGCGGTGCTTACACGGCCATGGCCAGCGCCGCGGGCTGCGCCCGGGACCGGGTCTCCTCGTCCCGCGGCAGCGCGGGCGGCACCGAGGGGCCGTGCAGCGCAGGACGGGGCACCCGCTCAGCCCGTCTCCTCGGCAGGGACATCGGGAAGCGCCTGGAGGTGCGGCGCAAAGTGGACGCCTGCGTGGGGAAGGCCAACTACATCAGCCGTCTGGAGCACGCGCAGGCCCGGCTCACGCTGTCCTACAATCGCCGGGGGGACCTGGCCATCCACCTGGTCAGCCCCATGGGCACCCGCTCCACCCTCCTGGCCTCGCGGTAGGTGTTGGGCCCCGGCGGGCAGGCGCCGCGGCTGCGACGCCCCCCGGACACGTTCTGCCCTGCCCAGGCCCCACGACTACTCGGCTGACGGCTTCAACGACTGGGCCTTCATGACGACGCACTCGTGGGACGAGGACCCCGCGGGGGACTGGGTGCTGGAAATCGAGAACACTAGTGACGCCAACAACTACGGTAGGGCTGCGCCGGACCCTGGCGCAGGGTCGGGGGGACCTGCAGGGTCAGGGGGTGCCCCGGGCCAGCCCTGGTGCGGSCTCTGTCCTCGCAGGCACCCTGACCAAGTTCACGCTGGTGCTCTACGGCACGGCCACGGAGCCGCCCAGCCTCTCCAACCAGCTGGAGAGCAGTGGCTGCAAGACGCTCACCCCCAGCCAGGCCTGCGTGGGTGAGTGCTGGGCCGGGGGGCGCAGGGGGGCCCGCCGCGGCTCCCCGGCGCCCGCTGACCCCCGCCTGCCTGTAGTGTGCGAGGAGGGCTACTACCTGCACCAGAAGAGCTGCCTCAAGCGCTGCCCGCCCGGCTTCGCCCCCGGCGTCCAGAGCACCCACTACACCCTGGAGAACAGCGTGGAGCCACTGGCACCCCAGCTCTGCCTGCCCTGCCACCCGTCCTGCGCCACCTGCTCGGGGCCCTCGGCCAACGAGTGCCTCACGTGCCCCGCGCACTCCCACTGGAGCAGCCTCGACTTCTCCTGCTCCCACCAGACGCAGAGCAGCCGCGCGTCACCCGCGCTGGGCCAGGCCGAGGGGCCGCCCGCCWCCTCTCCGCCCGCCAACCTCCCTGTCCTCGTGGCCAGCCTCAGCTGCGTCCTCATTGTCGTTGTCTTTGGCACTGTCTTCCTGGCGCTGCAGCTGCGCTCGGGCTTCAGCCTGCGGGGCGTCAAGATCTAYGCCCTGGACAGCGGCATCATCTCCTACAAGGGGCTGCCCTCCGACGTGTGGCAGGAGGAGGCCCCCTTCGAGTCGGACGGTGAGGATTATGAGGTGCACAGCGAGAGGACTGCCTTCATCAGAGACCAAAGTGCCCTTTGATGAGCCCTGTGGCCCCTCCGTCCTGCCCGCCGCTGGGCCCGGTCGGCCGGAGGGGCCCGGACTCCGCTCCCGTCCGTGCCCGCCACCGTCCCGCGGCTGCTGGGGGGCTGCGCTGCCGCCGTCCTGCACTGGCACCGTGCCACGGTGCACCCGCGCCGCAGGGGCCCTGCTACTGCTGCTGTCCGTGCTCGGCCCCGTCCCGGCTTCGCAGCACCTTGTCCGTCCCGCGCGCAGCRCCCGCTCCCTGCCCGCGGGGCCCGCGCTGGCCCTGTCCTGCCAGCCAGGCCCGGCCYGGGGGCTGCACGAGCCGCCGGGGCTGGTGCAGCCGTGGGGCCCTGGGCCGAGCGCCCCGGGGCCCTGCAGCACCCGGCTGACCCAGCGCGCGCTGCCCTGACGCCTGCGCCGTGTCCTCGACAGCAATAACGGCCTCGGTGGCCGCCGCCTGCCCCGCACCACCCGTCCCCGTGGCGCCGCGGGGACGTCCGCGTGGCCCCGGCCCAGCGCTGGCCCCGGCAGCGCCCCGGGCTGGTCCCGTGCCCTGGGCCCCCCCCACGTGCCTTGCCCCCTCGGTGACAATCCGCTCGCTCCCGGCCGCGGTCCCCGGCACCCCCGGTCCCACCGCCCCCGCACCGGGGCTGCCCCTTGGCCGCGGCGCCTGCCGGGGGCCACAGGACTATTTTTCTATAATAACTTTTTGGTGCACAGTAATTTTTTCTTGTAATTTAATCAGCCAGGAGCTGCCTCCTGAGCCCATTTTTAATTTAATGGATGTGGATATAACGCTAGAGAGATGGAGTTATTAAATGTTCAGAACTATGCAAACCAGCCGCGTGCTACCTGTGCTCTGTGTCTGCCCCGTGGCACCGCAGCCGGAGCCATCGTGGCCCCTCCAGGGGCCCTGGAGCCGGCGGCAGCGCCGGGGCCGGCACGGGGAAGCTCCGCGCTGCCTTCGTTGTCCCTGGTCCTGCGCTGGCGGCGGCCGCAGCTTCCTGCACTGACGATCAGAGCGCGGCTGCGGTGACGCCGCTGCTTCCTCCTGCTGCAGCCCCCTGCACCCCGGCCCTGCCGAGGGCTCTGGTGGGCGGCTGCGCTGGCAGCCCGCGCTGCCCCGAGCGCTGCCGGCGCCGTCCTGGGACCGTGGAGCCGAGTGTGGGACCCCACCAGGCTGGGGGGCTGCGGCTCTCGTGGCGGCGGGAGGGCTCTGCAGCGGCCGTCGCCTGCCCTGCCTGGGGCGAAGTTAAAACTGGAGCCCGCGGGCACTGTGTGCAATGTATGCACTGCCCCATGTGCGCTGCCCTGCATGCGCTGCCCCATGTGCACTGCCCCGCGCTCACCAGCTCGTGTGCGCACCCGTTTCCGTGTGCTCTTCCTCACATGCGTACTCCGTTGTGTGCACACTCCTCCTCATGCACCTGGAGCCCCAAAACCCTCCCCGGGGAGGCCCCCGGTTCAGGTCCTGCCTCCACCCCCAGGATCCAGGACTGCCCGTTGAGCCGTGGACAGAGCTCCCTGCAGGTGGAGGCTGCAATATCCCGCCTGTGTGGGATATACCGATACCGCAGCAGGAGCTGGGACACGGAGCAGGGACATGGAGCTTGACAACTGCAGCGGGAGGAGCGCAGCTGGGGGCAGACGGTGCCTCTCCTGGCCCTGCTGCCCGCGAAGACGCCCGGGCAGGATCATCCTTTCCAGGACGGGGAGCTGCTGCGGACGCAGTGCCCAGGGATGGGGTCATGGACCTAGCGGCAGGGCCATCCCGGGACGCAGGGTGCTGGAATGGGGACCCGGGATCAGCAGTGGAGCTGTGCTGGGATGCAGGGTGCAAGAATGGGGTTGTGGCGGTGGGACAGTGGGGCCGTGGTGGCTGTGGGGTGCCGGAACGGGGTCACAACAGGCCAGCGCAGGGCGGCGGTAGGGGAGGGAGGAGGTGCAGGAAATCTCGCAATGGCTGTTTGGTCAGCACAGGGTTTCCTGTTCCTCTCTTAGAGCCGGGGCTGCGCCAGGGTCCGGCGCGGCGGCCGGGCCGGTGGTGGCGGCAGCAGCAGCAGCAGCAGCGCAGCCCCGCGGGACCTCCTTGCAGCCGCAGGTTGGGCCGAGCGCGCGGGCTGCGGGGCTGCAGGGCTGGGGGGCTGCAGGGCTGGGGGCCGGGGGACGGCGCGGCCAGGACCCCGTGCGGTCCCTGTGCGGCCCCCGCTACAGCTCAGGTCAACCACTATGCTGGGGTCGCATTGCAGCACCAGCTGCATCCCGGCACTGCGGCCCGTGCACTGCCCCATCCACTGCGCTGCTCCCGTCCCTCAGCCCGACCCGCGGGCACTCCGGGCACTGGTGGGGACCGGGAGCGCGGCCCCGAGCAGAGCACACGGCCCCTGCCGGGACTGGGGCCATGGGACAAGGAGAGCCCACGCAGCCCCCGCCCAGCCCATGTGCAGCCCCCGCGCAGCCCCCACAGCCCCGCGCGGTGTTCCCTGCTGCGGCAGAGCCGCTGCTCCTTTCCACCCTGCACTTCCTCCTTGTCCTCCTGTCCCCATGTGGGCCCCAGGCGGTCCTGGGGCACCGGCTGCCCTTGGCCTCCCGCAGCGCTGACCCTGCACCGCAGGGCGGGCGGGCGGACATGCAGACCCGGCTGCAGGCAGCAGTGCAGGACGCAGGGAGCAGAGCAGGGTGCAGCGCACAGGCATGGGGCAGGCAGCAGGGTCGTTGCATGGCTGCGGTGCAGGCAGCATTGCACACAGCAGTGAGGGCAGCGGGAGCACTGCCCGGCCTCACTGCAGGCTGCAGTGCACAGTGGTGGTGCAGGCAGCGGAGAACTGTGCAATGGCATCAATGCAGGCAGCATTGCACATGGTGGTGCAGGGAGCATTGCATGACTGTGGTGCAGGCAGCATTGCACACCACGGTGCAGGCAGTAGAGAGCGTTGCACGGCCTCGCTGCAGGCAGCGCTGCACGGCCTTGCTGCGGCCTCTCCTGCACACTGCGGTGCCGGCAGCGGGCAGCGCTGCTCCACAGCGGCTGAGCCCTCCCTGTGCCCCCAGGCTGGTGCCAGCGGCCCGCGGCGCCATGGGCTTCGGGCCGGAGCTGTGGTGCGCGCAGGGGCACAGCGCGCTGCTGCGGCTGCAGGACAGCGAGCTGCGCCTGCTGGAGCTCATGAGGAAGTGGATGTCGCAGCGCGCCAAAAGTGACCGCGAGTACGCGGGGCTGCTGCACCACATGTTCTCCCAGCTGGAGAAGCAGGAAGGCGCAGGGCCGGCGCGTGCCGGCGAGCACGGCAGCCGCCTCGGCGAGGTGAGGTGGCCGTGCAGCCATGTGGCCACGGGCACGCGGCGCGGCCTCACGGCGCTGTCCCGCAGTCGTGGTGGGCGCTGGCGAGCCACACGGAGACGCTGAGCCAGATCCTGCGGCGGCACGCGGAGGAGCTGGCGGCCGGGCCGCTCGCCAAGCTCGGCCTGCTCATCCGCGACAAGCAGCAGCTCCGCAGGGCCTTCAGCGAGCAGTGGCAGCAGCTGAGCCAGGAGCACGCGCGGGTACTGCCACCGGCGCCGGCACGGGCGCGGGGACAACGACTGAGATGAGAGTGGGAGTGGGGATAAGGATGGGGACAGGGATGGGTATGGGGACAGGAACTCTAACGGGGCCAGGAGCAAAGGCAGGGCTGGGGTTGGGGCCAGGGCCAGGGATGGGTTTGGAGCCAGGGATGGGGCTGGGACCGGGGCTGGCAACAGGGATGGGATGGACATGGGGCTGCCACGTGGGGCGGCTGGGCCCGGCTCCCCGCCGTGCTGAGCCCGCGCGCAGGTCACGCAGCAGGACATGGAGAAGCTGAAGAGCCAGTACCGCAGCCTGGCGCGCGACAGCACCCAGGCCAAGCGCCGCTACCAGGAGGCCAGCAAAGGTGYGTGGCGGCCCCGGCTCCTGCCCGGGCGGGCAGCGGCGCCAGCGCCTTCCCACGGCCTCTGCCCGCAGACAAGGAGCGCGACAAGGCCAAGGAGAAGTATGTGCGCAGCCTCTGGAAGCTCCACGCGCTGCACAACCAGTACGTGCTGGCCGTGCGGGCGGCTGCACTGCACCATGAGCACCACTATGAGCGGGCGCTGCCCGCCCTCCACCAGTCCCTCTACAGCCTGCAGCAGGAGATGCTCCTCGTCCTGTAAGTGCCAGCCCGGACCTGGGACCCCCAGCACCCCCAGCGCCTGGCTGGGACCCCCAGCACCCCCACCGAGACCCCCAGCACTCCGGGCCCCAGCGCCCCGGTGCTGCCTCACCCGCACAGCCCTCGACAAGGCAGGGGCTCCGTCGGCCCCTGGAGCGCTGCAGTTGGGGTGCCCGCGATGCCACGTCCTTGTGTGGGCTGCGGGCGGCACATGGTTGTTGTGTCCCAGGGCTGGGCAGGGACCACGCTGGGTGCTGGGACTGGGCTGGATACAGCAACGAGGCGCGTGTGGGGTGTAGCGACCACCCGGTGCAGGGCGCAGGGCCCGAGCTGCGCAGGGGTGCGCAAGCGCCTACCCGCCTGGCCCTGCATCCTGGCAGGCGGGAGATCCTCTGGGAGTACCACAGCATCAGCAGCCTGGTGCAGGAGGACGTGCTGGCCGTGCACCAGGAAATCGCCCGCGCCATCCAGGCCATCGACCCCGCCACCGAGTACAGCAGCTTCGTGCAGGGCCACAGGTCCGTGGCGGTGCCGCTGCGCGGCCGGGCGCTCTGTGCGGCCCCGCTGAGCCCTGCTCCGCAGGTATGGCAGCGAGGCCCCGCCGGCCGTGCGCTTCGACGAGAGCCTGCTGGAGGACACGGAGAACCTGGCGCCTGGCGAGCTGCAGCTCAACGAGCTCACGGTGGAGAGCGTGCAGCACTCGTGAGCGGGACGCGCTGCCGCACRGGGGGAGCCGGAGCGGCGCGGCGCCGCCACTGCAGCCATGTCTATTGCAGCCTGACGGCCCTCGAGGAGGAGCTGGCRGCAGCCACCGAGGCCACGGGCTGCAAGGAGCAGCGGGTGCAGGAGCTGCAGGCRCAGATCTGGGAGGAGGAGAAGGGCCTGGGCCCCGGGGAACGGTGAGCGCGGCGGGCAGTGCGGGGCATGCGGGGCATGCAGGGCAGGCAAAGCATGCCAGGCTATGCAGAACATACACAGCATTGCGGGGCACTGCGGAGCATGCAGGGCATTGCGGGGCACTGCAGGGCATGCGGTCGACACTGAGCCCGCCGTGCCCGCAGGGTGCACCTGCTGGGGAAGCGCCAGGGGCTGCAGGAGGCGCAGCAGCAGCTCCAGGGCTGCCTCTGCGCCCAGGCCAAGCTGCGGGCGCAGCGGGACCTGCTGGCACAGCGGCTGGCAGAGCTCGACTCCGGGGATCCCTTGCCCGCCCTGCCCTTCCCCGAGGACCGGCAGTCCCTCTCCTCCGGGGTGAGTCCTCCCGGCGCACAGGGCCACGGCTCGGCCAGCTTGGCAGCCCTGCGGCTCGGCCGGCAGTGCCGGGTGCTGCTCACGCCAGCGCCATGCCCAGGAGCAGGAGCGCAGCGGGGCCACYGCGCTGGAGACCCTCAAAAGCCACATCTCAGGCATCTTCCGCCCCAAGTACCTGGTGAGCCCGGTGCAGYCTCCCCAGCCACTCCGTCTTTGCCTTTGCTTGGCTGTCCTGCAGCCCCCTCCCCATGGAGTTCCAGCCCCTGCTCCAGCCAGGCTCACCCGTATCTCTGTGCAGCTGCCACCCCCCGTGCCGCTGATCCCGGAGGTGCAGAAGCCGCTGTGCCAGCAGGCCTGGTACCACGGGGCCATCCCACGCTCGGAGGTGCAGGAGCTGCTCACCTGCAGCGGGGACTTCCTGGTGCGAGAGAGCCAGGGCAAGCAGGAGTTTGTGCTCAGCGTGCTGTGGGATGGGCAGCTGCGGCACTTCATCATCCAGGCTGCTGATGTGAGTGAGCGCGGGCTGCAGGCGAGCGCCGGGCCGTGCAACCACACGATTGCAAACGAGGTGCGAGTGCACAGAGCGGCGCAGGGCACGGGAGCAAGCCCCACATCATGTGCACACTCGTGCACGCTGCCTTGTGCRCATGCATGCCCACCCACGTGTGTAGCCATGTGCACGGCCCTGATYGCATGCCCACAAGTGCACACCCTGCACGGCCGCACGCGCAGCCCACGCCTGCGTGCCCTCCCCTGCAGAACATGTACCGGCTGGAGGGCGACGGCTTCCCCACCATCCCGCTGCTCATCGAGCACTGCCTGCAGAGCCGGCAGCCCATCACGCGCAAGAGCGGCATCATCCTGGCCAGGGCTGTGCTCAAGGTAGCGGCGAGGGGGCCGTGTCCCCGTGGCCGCCCCAGCCCACGTGGTGCATGGGGCACCGCACCGTGTCAGGCACTGGGACTTGCTGGGCCAGCACGTGGGGCTGGGGGGCAGCAGAGGTCTCACCAGCCCTGCTCTCCGCAGGACAAGTGGGTGCTCAACCACGAGGACGTGCTGCTGGGGGAGCGCATCGGCCGGGTGAGYGCGGGGCAGGGTTGGAGCGGGCCGGCCGCGCAGCGCTGGGGYGCGATGCCCCGCGGTCTGCGGCACCGCGGCAGGCAGCGCCTCCACCTCTCCGGGCAGGGCAACTTCGGGGAGGTGTTCAGCGGGCGTCTGCGTGCAGAYAACACCCCCGTGGCCGTGAAGTCCTGCCGGGAAACACTACCGCCTGAGCTCAAGGCCAAGTTCCTGCAGGAGGCCAGGTCTGTGTGCCCGGCACGTTCAGCGGGGCCAGCCTGGACGCCCTCTGGGATGCCGGGTCACTTGGCCCTGCTGAGTGGCACGTGCGGCTGCGGCATTTGGCCATGGCGCTCACGGCATCGCTCCGGCCGCAGGATCCTTAAGCAGTATAACCACCCCAACATCGTGCGGCTCATCGGTGTCTGCACACAGAAGCAGCCTGTCTACATCGTGATGGAGCTGGTGCAGGGTGAGCAYCGGGCCGGCCAGCGCCCGCAGACCATGTCCCTGCCGGCTGCGGCTCATGCCGCGGGCTTCGTGCAGGCGGCGACTTCCTGAGCTTCCTGCGCAGCGAGGGAAGCCAGCTCAAGGTGAAGGAGCTCATCAAGATGACGGAGAACGCAGCCGCTGGCATGGAGTATCTGGAGAGCAAGCACTGCATCCACAGGTGGGCTCCACACAGCGCGGCACGGCAGGGCACAGCACGGTGTGGCACAGCRCAGCAAGGCACTACACGACTCGCGCCTCGYGGCCACTGTGCTCTGGGCAGGACGGTGCCAGGAACCCTCTCTGGTGCCGGCTGCAGCCTGGCCTGGCTGTGTGTGGGCAGATAGAAGCAGCCGGGGGTCCCGGCTCCATGCAGAGAGTCCGTGCAGAATGGGGTGCCTGGTGGGCCCCACTGCAGTGCTGCATGGCACAGCAGGGCCTGGCACAGCACAGCACAGCACAGCACAGCGGGCAGGGGTGCGTGGCTGAGGGTGCTGCGCTGTCCCCAGGGACTTGGCCGCACGAAACTGCCTAGTGACAGAGAAGAACACGCTGAAGATCAGCGACTTCGGCATGTCGCGGGAGGAGGAGGACGGCATCTACGCCTCCACGGGCGGCATGAAGCAGATCCCTGTCAAGTGGACTGCCCCAGAAGCCCTCAACTACGGTACGGCTGTGCGCCGGCACGGCCCAGGAGCCGGCACGGCCATGGCCTGGGCGCTGGAGCYGGCACGGCGCCTGGCCCGGGGCTGCGGGGCTGTCCTGTGTGTGGCACACGGCGGGCGATGCCGGGCACATGGCGGGCGCTGCGGCGGGAGGCAGGGGGGTCTCCTCCGTGCCGGTGCCGCGTCCCGCACTGGCAGCAGCGGCTGTGCTCGCAGGCCGGTACAGTTCGGAGAGCGACGTCTGGAGCTTCGGGGTGCTGCTGTGGGAGGCGTTCAGCCTGGGCGCTGTCCCCTACGCCAACCTCAGCAACCAGCAGACGCGCGAGGCGGTGGAGCAGGGTAGGCGGCATGCGCGGGCTGTGCCGCGGGCGCTGCGGCGGGCGCTGCGGCGGGCGCTGCAGCGGGGCTGTCCTGCAGGCGTGCGGCTGGAGCGCCCCGAGCACTGCCCCGAGGATGTGTACCGCCTGATGCAGCGCTGCTGGGAGTACGAGCCCCGCAGGCGGCCCGGCTTCAGCGCCCTGCACCAGGAGCTGCTGGGCATCCGCAAGCGGCACCGCTGAGTCCCCGTCCCATCCCTGTGCCCGTGGGGYGAGCGCTGTGCCGGCCGCCCCGGTGCATGGCGCTGCCCTCTGCTCCTCTGCAATAAACCCGATTCTCGGCCTCGCTGCCTCTGCTCGGGGACACGGGGGTGGCTGTGCCGGGGGGCTCGAGGTGCCCTGGGCACCCTGCCTGGGGGCTCAGCAGGGGCTGCGGGGCCTGGGGCTGCGGGACGGCCGCTCACCCCGGGACAGCCGCTCATCCCGGGTCAGCCGCTCATCCCGGGTCAGCCGCTGATCCCGGGGCAGCCCCTCATCCCGGGACAGCCCCTCATCCCGGGACAGCCGCTGATCCCGGGACAGCCGCTGATCCCGGGACAGCCCCTCATCCCGGGTCAGCCGCTGATCCCGGGGCAGCCCCTCATCCCGGGACAGCCGCTCATCCCGGGACAGGCTCCGCGGGTCCCGGCCGGGCCGCAGGCCCGGCGC